GCACACTAGAAATATATATAACTTTTTAAAAATCCCATGGAGATAAGTCTTGCAAAACAGTTGCCCTACCAAATATTAACACTTCTTGCAGTCGCTAAAGCATGTTCCATGATTTTGTGCACGATCCTGCATTAGTCTCGGTATACTTTCCATTTGATTAACTTCTGGCGGATCATCAGCCCATGCTTGAATCTTAAATGTACCATAAGTGCTCTGTGTAGCTTCCACATAGAAAGTGCATGCGTCACCAGCACAGATTCAGTCCAACCGCTTTTCGCATCTCGAATTATGATGTGCACAAATCATGTTACTTAATGCCTTTGCGGCTAATTATCGTACAGTCCAAGCCAACATGGTATGCATACCTATGTATTCTGCGTACGGTTGGCAGAAAATGGTTTTGTGTATATCAGTGCACTGTAACACTTGTATTTTCTCCACATATCCATGGGGGTGCAAGGAAGTATCCACAGAAACAGCAGGACTTGTGTACCTCATTTAAATGAGATGCCGCTGCTTTGTTCCGCCATGCTTCACATGGCAGGGGGACACCGAATAGCTGCGTTGTGCTTGCAGGTAGCTTTTTCAGGATTCCTATGGGCTTGCCCAGGGCATCTACATGTATTCCTATCTTTCACAGGGGAATCCTGTACATAAAACCTCAGTTCCCTCACGTTTGGTTGCAATTTATTATCTAAACATTTTCCCACCCTCTGTAGGGTGTACCCTTGACACAACTGGGCATTTCAGTTTTTTTTTTTTAAATTAAGATTATATAGATGTTAGAGTGATGCACTACCTCACCAATATATCTACCTTTGAGATAACCCCGCTCCTACCTTTTTATTAAGCTTATCAAATACTCTTGGGAACAGAGTCGTTGCTACCTAACTGTAACTCTTACTTTCACATAAAATTTGCTATACCTCCATCCTGTATTGGTTCTTGTGGATGAAGACAACGTTCTCACCTTTATCACTGAATCTTCTAACTAAATCATTAATCTTCTTTAACTCCGACAGCATTTATTTCTTCTGTTGAGAGGCTGTCCCCCACATGAAAAGACAAGTACAGATTTCTCAAATCTTTCAACAAGACACATAAATAAAGTAATATCATATACCGTTGATGGGGGAGAGAACGTCACTGATTTCAGGGAAAATGTATTATGTATAGGTGTATTTTCCTCCTTCTATTCCTCCTCTTCCTAAACTTGCTTTGGACTCTTCAGTTTCTAGTTTATACTCTCCTTCCCCTCTTGCTCCACTTTGTCTTCTTTCAACAGAAACCATTTCTTTAGCTGAACCTGATGCTGAAACAGTCTAATATCCTAAAAAAAAATAAAAAATCTATACAAAATCCTGACTGTCACGCTCCTGCTCTGCTATTTATTGTGTTTCTATTGGCCTCACTTATTCGCCCCCACAACTGACCAATTGCTATTACTACATGATGTAAACCATCTTCTAAAAAAGCAAATTTTCTCCTTTTTAAAATCCTCGCCATCTTTCTGATATTTTTTTTTCTTTTTAGTGGGCCTTATTTATTGCTGTTTATTCTCCAGATCCTTTGCAAATTATTTCATTTTTTTTTTCTGGGCTGTTCCTAATGTGGCACAACAGGGGTTCAAGGGTAAGTGCTCAGAGGCATTTATAAGCTCTTACAGAAGCCATTGGGTATGAATAAATTGCTCCAATCCTTTGGAGCATATTGGCACCCAAGGCTGGCATGTAAAGTTGCTTCCATAAAGTTAAAGTTCGCAAATGCTTTTTGAGCGAGAGGAGGAATCTTATGTGAAGTAGTGCCATGCAAGACGTTTAGCACTCTTAAGGTGTTTATCTTTTTTGTTTGCTTCTTTTTTTTTTGTTGGGGTGAAGGCAACATGATTATGGTCAATCACACTGGAAAGGGAGAAGTATTTTATATAGTAGTGAAAATTTTTTTAAATCTGTGTTGGCAAGGAAATAGGCCTGTAGCTTCAGCAGAGGCATAGATTTTATATATAGATTTGAACACTTAAGGTATCTTGAGGAAATGGTTCTAGAATGCTGTTGTAGGACATAATTAACTCCTTACCTAATGTGCACAAAAATGGCTTTATAAGCCTTGTTAGCTTTCATGCAAGACCAGACTATGAAAAACTCATCTGTGATGGAACGTTCCATAGAATTCTGGTCTCTGAGAGAGTGGGAGGTCCTGACTTTCTGAGATAGGATTGGAGGGGTGCAGAGTCAGCTCCTTGGGGAGACTAGGGAGGGGGTTAGGTATGGAGATTGTATAGTTCCTTTATAATAGTCTCAGTTACAATGTGATATGTCCAAGGACTTAAAAAGCCTGATGACCTCCTTGTGTGGATAAGTATATAATATCTATAAGTGTAAGGTAGTTTCTCAGGGGGTACCTTTTTACTCCAGCTTCTGAACATGATTTCCTCGTTTAATGTAAAGAAGTGGTTCCGACAAATTGTGTTTTTTTGGCTGTGTTCTCTCCAGCCCTTTTTGGAGCACTGTAAGTAAGAGCTCGGCCCCATGCACCCAACTGTAGGCATCTTGTTGTCCCTGTGGGAGGTGCAGATGACGGAAGCTAGTAAGCAAAAAAACTGGTGAATTCCAGTTTGTGCCAAACCCTTACTATCCTTCTGTGCTTTCCCTGTTTTTGGCTTTCAATCAGTGTAGTAGTTTGTACAGTCCTCTGTGTGAGGTGAAGGGGGCACAGCTCAGCAGGAACATGACTTCATGCTGCCATTGCTAGACCACACCCCATTTCTTGTGCTTTTATCACCTTTACTGTAATATGTCCACAGGCTTTATTATTATTATTATTATGTTTGTAAAAGTACATTGCAAGGAGGTGATGTAATTAACTGCATGCAAGTTATACACAGTAGCAGAAAGAAGAAATTATTTCATACAAGCTAACCATGTTATGTACAATGTAATTTGATAAATGTTGTAGGGCTGCAACTAATGATTATCTTCATAATCGATAATTTTGCAGTCTTATTTTTTCGATTTAATCAGATAGGGATAGGGATAGGGATCCAACAAACTAATCAATAATGAGACTAGTAACAACTGTTCTCATCGATTTAATAGATTAGTTGGTTGCATCCCTAAAGTGTTGCTTTCAGTGTTTTCCGTTAAAAGATTGCTTGTACTCACCTGCTTCTGATTTCTGGCCAATTTTGGTTGCTTTTAGCATGTTAGGCCACTGACCTGAAACAAGTCTAGTGTCTTGCTTGGAAATGAAGCTAGATCCAGGATGGCAGCCTTGGAACTTACAACTCTAAAGATAAATTGGCAATGACAGCACCTGTATTTCTGTTCCTAAAGATGCCATTAAACCACTCCCCAATAGCATCCCTGGCCTTTTGGAATTCTGAAGACCAGGTCTCGCTAATCTACTGCCAAACAAGTGTGTGTGTGTGTGTGTGTATATATGTGTGTATGTATATATATATATATGTATATGTGTATAATTTTATTTTAAGTACAATATTTAGCTTCCCCCACAAAATGTATAATGATCCTATACCTGCTCAGAAAACGAAAGTCTAAAGACACAAGAATTCTTGGGATTTTTCTGCTCAACTGTTGGAGTGACAGTTAGCCATGTATTGAAAATATTGCTCTGCTATTATCTTTGTTTTAAATATCTTCTGCTGCAATAGTCTCCTTAACACCATACATAGCTTTTTGTGATAGTAGTTAGCAACTGGTACTTAAACCAGTATATTAAAATTATGTAATGTGTGAATTGAGACCCTTTCTGGTAGTCATTGACAATGGTTGGGCATTGGCATTATGGTCTTTCCATTATCCAGTGCTTATGAGCATGAAGACTCCCCTGCTTTTAATCTGTTTGTGATGTAGAGTTTGAGGTGACATTTCCTCACTGCTGCTTTCTGTGGTCTTAGGTACCCCTACATTAAATATCTGTTCTCTATGGGTTACTAAAGGCTGTGAACACAACCTGACACATAAAAGGCAATTTCTTATATGGTAAAACAGCAAACAACTTTCGTAATGTGTATCATTGTTTTATATGTTTATGTCTTTATTTTGAACACATAGTCTTAAGTCAAGAGGTAGCCTGGCCAGGTCTGGTGATCTGTACTCATTCAACAGGCAATAATTATCTGCACCACAAAGCCTTCTTATGGTCCAGCATAATTGGGACTAATAACACACTGACCTTATGTCTGTGAATATTTATGGTTGCTGGTCTTTTCACCCTTGTTCTGTCAGAAGTGATGTAAGCCCCTCTTTGAAATCACTGCCGTTCTCACATTGGCTACTTAAAAGATACATTGCTTTTAAATATGACAGTGAGCTGTTAAAGTGTAGCTTAATTTTGAATTTTGCAGCTCGGTGGAACTTGAAATTGACATTGTATAGAAAGAGCTATCTGATTTATGGGATTAAGTTCCTAATGGCGAAGAAGGTTTCTGCTGAATAATTGGCTATTGCTTTATTCACTTGTCATGGTACGATGACTTGTGTATTAAGGAAATGGAGTTTGTTAGAGGGAAGGAAGCCTTGCATGTCATCAAGAATCAAGGTGTCTCAGAGGACAATGTTATAATCAGCTTTGCTGGCCTTGAGAACAGATTTGATTTGTGATGGTTAGTGATACAACCTAGTTATAGTTTAAGCCAAAAATAATGAAAAATGTGTTTTATAGAGAGGAGTGATCGTCAGATGTGCTTCTTTGTATAAATGTGCAGAGAACTTTATTTATATTGAGTATGTTCTGTTTGTGTGTGTGTGTATGTATACAAATATGCATTGCAGTTTGCCATGCTATATATAACTAAATCACAGATTACATTTTTTTAATTTGCATTTCAAAGGTGTAACTTATTGTAATTATGGGCACAGTTCAGTGTATTGTCACTTTTTGAGTAGTTATGTTTGAATTGATTATTATTCCAAAATCTTTATATGGAACTCTTCAACATTGTCATTTAATAGCAGTTTATCTTCTTGTGTTTTTCTCAGGAGTGTCGTTATAGCACAGAAGAAAATGGCCCCTGTTGCAGTTACTGTTGGTCCTGTTCCTCAAGCAGTCAGTGTGGTGTCCTCATTAGAAGCCTCTCAGTCTGCAGAAGCTGACAAAGACTCATCAGGTATATATTGCAAGTGAATTTCTAGAATGGATACATAACGTGCTGTGAAAGGGCCCCTACCCTGAATTTGCATGAGATTTGAGTGGAATTAGCAAATCAACCAATCATAAATGTTTGCCTTCATATGTTCGTGCAAACTTGTCTAATCTTCAGAAAATAAAATAATTTGTTGGTTATGAGTGGATCCCAGAATGGTGTGGTTCAACACACATTAAGCGTAATTGCATTTTGAGGAATTGGGGGATCAGAAATGTCTTTTTTTTTGCCTGAATATTTCCATTGAAGTCTGTCAGTGTGCAGTAAACCATGAAATTTAGATCATAAAGTGTATGATTCTATGTAGATAGGATAGGAAAGATATAAATATATTTATATTCAATTGGACAACTCCAATAGGGAAATACTAAAATCTTGTTGAATGCCCAAGGCTTGCTATGCTTCACCTTAAAATAGTGCACATTAACGTTGAAATGGCACTACATTTAAACGTTCCCGGGGTTGTCGGACTGTGACACATACCTGTGGTTAACAAGTATGCAAATATATGATAGCCAACTGACAATTCATTCTTCTGATACATGACTTCCCTTGAGGATAAGTAGCCTGCTTTGGGCTACTGTATTAATGATATGTGACAGGTGTGCTGTAATGCTTAGACTTACATATTACTCTTTATAGCAGAATTATTGATGAACAGACCAACACTTTTAGATTCAGTTAGTCATGATAGTAGTGACATTTTTAAAATAGACTTGGTGTATTGCTTTGCATCTTGTGATGTCATCCCAAATGATGTGGTTCATACCTGCAAAGCATTTTATTGTGGTATTTCAATATAACCTGATGGGCTGAAGGGAGGGTGGTCCGTCTAGAATGCCAGAGAAAATTTAGGTAATATTGTAACATAAATATGTGTGATCATTGCAGAAGGATGAGAAAAGCTTTGTTGAAGAAATTAAAGTGTTTAATTTAGGACCGTTCAAGATTAAACATTTTACTTTGTCTACACAGCAGAAATAACACAATTATTATAATAATGATTACAATAATCATATCCATGCTAATTCATTTTTAATGTCTTCATTGTCCAAAGAAAACATTCCATTCTATTTATGATTACAGTTTCACATAACTCTGAGCTTTGTGTGAATAGACTGGGTACAAGACTATGAGATGACTGGCCTGAAAACAGAACAGACTTTTAGCAGTTCTTCTTTTCCCTTTTGTATTTATTAGTGACCTTATGTGGCTGGTCTACTGTGTCAGAATTCATCTATTTGTTAATAGGCATGTAGAAGCAAGTGCTGGACACATGTATGAGCTAGGTTACCGTTTCCTAACTTTTTTTTAAAGTCAGGTATCTCTATCTATCTATCTATCTATCTATCTATCTATCTATCTATCTATATACACACACACCTATCACAACACTTCGCTCCCCCCTGTTATGTCATAATCCCGCCAGAGTTCATTAAAAAGATTCCTGGAAGAATGACTGATCACATCACGTGTCCATATTAACATATTCATAATAGAACTGCCTTGCATACATAGAACAATGATGCCAATGAAAAAACTGCTGCTTTAAAAAGCTGTGTTGTGAAGATAAATACCTATTCTGCACCAGGCTGCTCGTTTCTAGGGGCCATCCCTTATTAGCAGGTAGGAGTGGCTCACGTGTCAGTTTAGAGATTGGGACAATTTTGAGACTATTTTCTAATATTTAATAGGGTAAAATTGACAATTGATTTCGACCACCGTGACAAAAAAAAAAAATCAAAGGAGCAGGATGGAAAAATTTTCTCAAACAAATTTCTAACAGTGAATGTGGTCCTCATTTGAGAAGCTTCATTCTTCTCCAAAATCAAATGTTAAAACCAAACGAAAGTTTGAGTTACGTTATCGAATGTTCTGATTTTTCATAAGAACGTTCATACGTACAGTTATGGCCATCTTTAGGTTTGCTACTCTCCGGGCATGACTTCATCTGTCTTAGGTACTTTACCACCTTCTAGCAAAATTAACTTTTTCTTTACATTTTTTTGTGTTTGCTGAGAAATCTTTTCTTACAGAGAACTAACTGAAAATGTTTTTAAGCTGCAGCCTGGCCATATATTATTTTCAAATGGTATTAGAAAAAGCTTTACCAAAGTGCCTGTATTTAGTCTCCAAATGTTCCTGCATTTAGGTGGTGCTCTAGGTTCCTGAGCAAAACAAAGTTCTGATGTACCTTTTGTAAATAAATATGGTCTAAAACATGGCCCTGCTACTGTTTAACTTTCTAAAATAGTAATGATGGGAAGGACACTGAGGCTATGCAGGTGGATGTAGTCTTTTTAACCTCTTGGTGTGCCCTTTCTCCATTTAGTTGGAGGAGCAATTTACGCAGCGCTTTACATAGTGCACATTCACGTAAGTCCCTGCCCTCAATTTGCTTACAATATAAGGTCCCTCTCATTCATTCATACATGCATGCATACATATACATGCATTCATGGGCCACTTTAGATAGGAGCCAATTAACCTACCGGCATATCTTTGGCGTGTGGGAGGAAACCTGAGTAGCCACACAAGCACAGGGAGAACATGCAAATTCCTTGCAGATAGTGATCTGGCCATTCAAACCAGTGACCCCAGTGCTGCAAGGAAGAAGTGCTAACCGCTACACCACTGTAAATTCTATTTTTTGATCTTTTAGTGGTCATTTTCTGCATTCCTGCATTTACTCTTTCTTTAAATGTGAGTAAAATGTCTTTTTAATAGGTACAATCTAAAACTGTTCATAATAAATATAAATACATGAACATTTTTTATGAGGAGGCAGGGAGAAGAGAAGGTCCTAAAACGATACTTTATAGCAAAAGACATTATTTGCGTAGAGCCTTGGGGACTGTGAATTTTCAGTAAACTGCACGGAGAAGGGTGCTAGACAGATGATGTATTTGCATTTTCTTTTATGTTCTTGCGAGTGTCTGTAAAACTGTCAGTTTGAAGGAGCCAGTTTATCAGTGAAAGGATGAGAGTAAGATAAGTCAGCTTGATTCCACATGTTTGAAGTAGCTACTGTACGTCTAATCCACATGTGCATTTGTAGATCTAATCAGGCTTTGTCTGTGGACATGATGCAGAAAAAAAGCTTTAACTCATGCTGCAAAATCATACTGGGAATGTATCGGCATTTTTTAGAACGCTTAATTTTTTTATTTCAAGTTTTTTTTTTCCCCTGTGCCTTTTGTTTTATTGAAACATGGTGTCCATTAAATTGCTAAGTGATGCTCTGTTTACATAGCATGTGGACTATTGTACCTGTGTGATGCTTTGCTCTCTTCCATGTATATGTTTGTGACTGTTATGCTGTGTGTGAGTGGCAGCATTTATTAATCCTAAAAAGATGTATTCTATGAATTATATGTGCTATTTTTATGTTTTAGGTAGTGGATCGTCTAATGCCAAACTGCCATCTGTCCAGGCTGTTGCATCTGTTCCAGAAGATTCTGCATCTCACATGAGGTTTGTTTTACCACTAACTGTAGCTAAGCTAAGCTGGTAACCCTGCATTTCCTCTTTCCTACCTTCATTCTGCATCCATAGAAAATGGAGTAAGCCGTATTGCAACGATCTGCCTAGACTGACGCATTTTAAGAACCTCACATAAGACCACCATCTACTACTGCAACTACTATTCTAGGGATGTTCAGATAGAAGTTCAGATACCAGTGCCAATACTAGGCATTTTCACAAGATCTACCAGGGTTGCAGCAGGGACCGGGCTCTGGCACTCCACCACTGTCCTGAAATCATTAGTCTGTATTGTTTTAGAAAAATTGTCACATGACACTAAGCAAAAATGTATCAGTACTTGTATCTGTGAGTACTTGGACAAGTATCAGTACTGGTACTTGAAAAAATGTTATCAGTGCTTCCATAATATATGTTTAGTTAAAAAAAAAAGAAATCATACATTAACCCCTTCGTGACTGACGACGTACAGTGTACGTCGCCAGCATCGGGGCTGTTTAAACAGACTCCCGGTGACTTTTGCCGCCGGGACTCTGTTTAAACTTGTAGAGCCGACTGTCGGCTTTACAACAGAAGCGATCCTGGCGACTCACCTGTCGCCAGATCGCTTCTAATCAGCTGCCTCCTAACTTTTATATTTTTCTCTAGTCTAGTCTTGGAGCTGGAAACGTATCTGTACTTGTGCTGAGTACGGTACTTGGTATCTGAACATCCCTAATTTTAACCCTCACAATATAGGCTACCTAGATGGCTAGGCCAAATTTAACAGTGTTGGTTAAAGAAGACCTATACTCTGGAAGCTGTGCCCAAAAAGACAGGCAAAGTCACCAGATCTCCAAATCTACTGAGACTACAAGTCAGAGATGGCAGTGCCTTAGATCTCACACGCTACATATACAGCTATGAGGCTGTAGGCACCGTCACAGATAAGATTATGTACTTTTTGTTTTTCTCAGGAGAAATTTTTTGATACAAACTTATAGGCTGACAAATGGGCAAACCCCCCCCCAAGAATTGGTCATCAATTGGGTTATACTGCCACCTTCAGGAGGAATTGGACACTATCACACAGAAATGCTGTTGGCCCCCAGGTATAACCCCACCCACTCCCATCATGCTTAAGGTTTATAGAAAATCAGTATTGGGATTATATAACAAACGCAGAAGGTGAGAAACTCCAAGAAACAGACAACAGACTTATGGTATGTACAAAAATCCTGTTTTTTGGATTTGGAGACAATTGAGACACCCAAAAGAAGTCCAACTGAGGGGTGGGCTACACTAACAAAACACTAAAAGGCCCACATAACAAGACTGTAAAACTGGGGGGGCAGCCTGCAGCTCGGAGCTTCCTGAAGGGACCTTAAGCCCAAAGCTGACATCGGATGGGGCCTGAACATCCACCTGGTAAAACATGTGAACAGAACCGGTTGCATTTTTCAACCTTGTGAATATAGAAAGGGGAATATCCATAATAGTTTCAAAAGGCGGTTTCTGGAATGCCAAAATAACCAGATTCAGATCCCACAGAGTTGCAGCTGCCTGTACAGGAGGGGTCACGAGAAAGACACCTTGGAGAGAAGTCTTGACTAATGAATGGGAGGCTACCAGTCTTTGGAATAAAATCACAAGGGCCAAGATGTGTCCTTTTGATGATACTCAAGGCTCAAAGCTGATCCAGACCTGATTGCAGAAAGCTTAGGATTATTCTCACTGAATATTTCCTGGGGTGAAATCAACTTTCCTCACACCATGTAAGAAGCATTCCATGTGCAATGGTAGACCTTACTAGAGATAGATTTCCTAGTTTTAACAGCATGGGAACTAACAAATGAGCGAGACCCCTGTCTCTAAAGACCTGGGCTTCAGAAGACATAATGTTAAACCCACCCACCATGAAGCAGGGTGGTAAACCGGTCCTTGGGACCTTGAGTCACTGGAATGCCCTCCATCTCAATCCTGTGGAGCAGACAAAGGAGTTTGAGCAGATGAGTGTCATAAATCAGGCTATACTGATGCCATTGGGTCACACGAGCATCCACTGATTCCGCCAAAGGATCTCTGCATCTGTAGACAAACCTGTAAAGTTTGGTACTGAAACTGGAGTCCCGGAGGTCCACATCCGCCCTTCCCCGCCCATGAAGCGGGTCTGGAAACACTTCAAGTTATAGGCCCATGTCTGCTGAGATATTCTGCTTGCCAGTTGTCGATGCCTGGAAGGCGAATGGGGGACAAGGTGGGAACATGGAATTCTGCCCAGGCTCTAAGGCTTCAAAAGTGTCTAGGATGAAACCCAGATTCTCCAAGGGATGAGTTGATTTCTTAAGGTTTAGGATCCAACTGAACCTTTTTTGAAGTCTGGACTGTCTGCATCACATTGTAGGTCACTATTTGCACCAACTTTTCACTCAACAGTAATTCATCCAGGTATTCCACAATAAATATATAATGGGAGCGAAGCAAGGCTAGCATGGGTACCAATACTTTGGTGAACATTCAGGGCCTGGAAGAAAGATCAAATGGGTGGGCTGCAAACTGTTAGTGTTGTGTGCCCCTAGCAAAATGGAGGTAGCGTTGATGTTCTCGGCAGATGGGGCATGCAAGTATGCATCCTTTTATTTCCTAAGAGGTTGGAAAGGTGTGAGCTTATGACAGATCTTTTGTTTTTTAGTTGTTTTTTTTGGGGGGCGTAAATGAAAACCCAGGATGTGGCATATGCCCTCTTTTTCTTGTTTTGGATTAGTGAAAAAGTTGGTTAAACCCCTGAAACCCCGTCTGCCATTAGAACAATGGCAATAACCCCTGGCTCAAAAGATCTGCAAGAACTGTATAGAGGTCTGCTAGTCTGTGTGGGAATACAAGTAGGCTGGATAACCTGCACTTGGGATGGGGCATAGAGTGGAACTCAAGCTTTTCTTAGCTAGATAGACCTCCCCCTCCACTTTGGAAGTAATTGGTATCGGCGAGTACTTGAGGAAAAGTATTGGTGCTCGTTCTTGGTCTGGATAATGGTAATAATAATGGTATTGGTGCATCCATACTAATCTGTTTGTGTAGTAGTATACACCTGTAGATGGCAGCATAACCCAATTGCCTCTGAATACCTGATTCTTGTATGCAATAGATATAGATATAGATATAGATACAGATACAGATACAGATATCTATATATATTTGTCTCAAAGTATTATAAAGAGGCACACTGCCATTTTGAAACTGCAGTGGTATTTGCAGGCTGAAGGTGTATTTTTTTCTGTGTAAACTTAACTGATGAAGTAATCGCATTATTATTATTATTGGGACCCAGCCTGATTGGTCACCAGTTGTTAGCGGGGACTGAAGCAGTCTGTGACTACCTGGTCTTGCAGCTAGCAACCTTGCACAGTTTTGGCTGCTATCTGTCAAAGGGGGAGATGCTAGATTAACCACATTCCCTCAGCACATGGTATCTTGCAGGGTAATGTTGGTCTGCAGGCCAGAAGCATTTAGGGAATATGAAAAATAAAATTAAAAAATTGTATATTATGCACAGAAACATGTTTTGCTTTAAGCTATAGAACTTCATTCTCAATCACACCCTTGCAGAATTGTCATTATTATGAGACCTAATTTTTTTTTTTAACCTGAGACTGATAAGAGCCATTTTGCAAACGTGGCTGTCAGCTGAGCACCACTGCCGCATATTTATAACATGAGTATAGGCTTTGATTTGCTACAAATAGTTTAATTTCTTTAGCTGTGTTCCAGGCTGAGTGCCGCTTGTAATCTACAGATAGCGGAGAAAGAAATGTTGCATTGAGACAAATAAAGCAAATTGTAGATACTTTTTTTCTTCTATCCAATGTGTGCTTCAGTGGACACTGAATGAATCTAGAAAGGGTTGATGAAGTTTGAGCAAAAAAGGTTTAGAATGGCCCTAAGAGCAAATAACTGTAATTTTTATACTTTGTGATCTTTTCATTTTATATTTTTCTGAGAGGAATGTTTTTTCATATAGTTAACATATCATTTGACATGATATTCCTGTATTTTTTTTTTTTTTACCCTATGCACTAATTTTGTATATACATTGATTCTCCAGTAATAATTTTCTCACAGTCCAGCTGTTAGATATACTGGAACTGCATATATCTACCAATATTCCATTTCTATTTGTGTATATAACAGGGCAATTCTCCTCCTTGGGGGAAGTTGATGTTCGTTCTCTGTGTCTTCACAATATCTCTTCTAGATCAATAGTCATATACATTTGTCAGTTACAAACTTTGTCACCAAGTACCTAAACATCTCCCATCACCCTATCACCTATCCTCATAGTAAAAACCAAAAGTTAGGCAATTACAGGTTAGGTTTATTATCCATGATTTAAATGACACTAGTTTACACTGCTGTAACTTTTGCAGTATCTTAATTTTTGTAGTTAAACCCCAGCCTGTGCTCTGTCTCTAGTGTATTTGGGCCTAGCGTTGCTCATTAATTTTTTTTCTACTGCTGGCTAATTTGACTGCTGTATTATCTTCAGTCTCCTAATTCTAGCAGTAACACCTGCCTGTTCTTTTTGTCTTGAGTATATATCTGCCAATTCTCCTTTGTTTTACAATTGTCGTGCTGCTGGTTAACCTTACAATGCTGTATATTCTGTGGACTGATCATTTTTAATAAGGGCTTGATAGAAATTTGCCTGCATCAAGACCGTTTAGCATTAGCGAGTACAGGGACAACCTCAGTGACTGAAATTAATCAGAATAAAGTGCTGCTGTATGTAAGTTAATCAAATTGTACAAAAAAAATAAATCCGCAGCCAAATATATGTAAGTGTACAATTTCATTAAGACTGTGTGAAAAATTGTACAGTTCTACAACACCACTTAAAGCTTCAAGTGGGTCACATGCAACGCGCACGCACACACACACGCACACACACACTATATTCTAGTTTTACACTGAGCCTCCATACTAACAGGAAGTTCTGTCATGTCACTACACTCTTGATGCAAGCACATTCTCTTCTGCAGCGCATTACTATGGATCGTTCTATAGAAGGATTGGAGGCTGTTTGTTTTAGTTCTTGGGCTTAGCGCTGGATCCCAGCTGTCATTGACAGCCGGCTGTGACCAGTGCTACGTGACGCTTCAGTTAGAGAAAATACCTATTGATATTTTCAAAAATCCTGTGCAATTCTAACGTGCTCTCTGCTTGTGTTGCACTGAAATTCTATTATGTGTTGTATTCTAATTCGCCCTACCCAGCACACATCTGTGGACTACAGAACCCTTCAGGTTGACAATGCAGCTCAGCCAAATATATAAATCCAGCACAGGCATTGTTGTCACTCTAGGGCAGGAACTACATTGCAGACAGGATTACTGGGTGAAAATAAAATAAAGACCCTAAAAGAGAAAACTAATGCAGCCACCTCATCTAAAGACTGGTCATTTATTATTTTTTGTTCATGGGTTCCTAGTGGAATGTATTATTGCTGATACATACAAGTATGTGTTGTACTATGAGGACCACTGTTTCTCACTGATTGGACATTAAACAGTAGAATAATTTTTCCTCTATTTACAGGAGTAAAGGGGTTGACTATGTTATTAGACATATAATTCATAATCATCTAGGGTTTGTCCATTTCAACTAATAAGTTGAAACTAAAAGTCCAACCTTCCCAACCCTCTAAACTAACCTAGAAGCCCCCCACCAACAGCTTATTTGCTTTAGCATCTTGACCTCAGACTCCTTTACTGGTTACCTCCCCTGGAATTAACTCTTCTTCTGTACTGGCTTTGCCTGTGTGATGAGCACCTATAGTTTTAAATGGAGCCGTACTCCAAGCCCCAGTGTAGGCATGACCATATGAGGATTTGCTGCACAGGTAATGGCAGCCCTGAACAAGATTTTGCCCCAGGAGAGGGAAATGGCAGAGGATTCTGTGACTGTCATGCTGAGGTAAATTAGGAGCTGGGTAGGGAGTTTCTAGGTTAAGAAACCAGGGAGGTTTGATAATCTAGGTTTTTATAAAGGCAGAATGGCCCTTTTAAGAACATAAAGCCAAGGTAATGAGCGTATTAATTTGGTATAATTTGTGCTGTACTTTCTAGGCTCTAAGCTGATTGTTTTCCTCTTCTAGTATTACAGAAAGACTGGAACATGCCTTGGAGAAGGCTGCTCCACTGCTGAGGGAGATCTTTGTGGATTTTGCACCATTTCTGTCTCGCACTCTTTTGGGCAGTCATGGCCAAGAGTTACTTATAGAAGGAACAAGTAAGTAATTTTTTATTTTTTAACTATTATCAAAAAGCTTTGTGATAGCAATATTAAGGCAGAATTCCGTTGTAGTTGTGTGCCCAATGTGCTCTGAGATCACAAGTGTTTTCATGTTTATGCCTATGGAGTTTTGAGAAGGGAATGTGTCCCACGCCTCCAATGTTGGGTTATCATGGGCCTTTTGTGAGAGTGCAGACGATAATGCTCAATTGAAGTTATGCAACCTAACCAATTGTGAATTCTTCTGAGATCAGTTTGCCTGGGCAGTCGGTCTCACTTTGATGCTTCTCAGAGGAAAATAATAAAAAAAAAGCATTTCAGTACATTACTCCAATGCATGGAGATTTACCATGTTTCATCATTGTAAGTACAGAAAAATCCCTTTTGATCTGCCAGAAATCCAGTGTGTTCCTAACTTTCCGTTTGGGCTGACAACACTGTGCCTTTGCTACACTGAAATCCCAAGCAGCTTTGTCAGTCCTGTCTGCTGGGCTACAGAACTTGGCATATGCTTTCTAGCACTTTCTTCAATCAAGATTCTACTCCACTGCTGGAGCTTGGTCTCTTTAAATACAGCTAACCAGCACAGTCATTCCCAGCCTGTCATTTGGAGTACCATGTAGGAACCCTGGTGAACTGGGCATTGCTTCATAGGCTGGAAGTGATTTTTGGACACCTTCCAGGCTCCAGTCCGCTAAATGTTCGCTGTAGAGCGCTTTCTAGGTCTAGAGCCATTGGTATTTTCTGAGCACTTGCCCTGTTAAAAAAACAAAAACAAAAAAAAAAACGTGGGCAACAAATTAAAACTTCAAAATACTTACCGTGCCTTTTCCTAAATACCTTGTGGTATCTGCTTTCTACTTTCCAAAAAAGGGGGAACATTTGGGGTGTTTGTACTGTCCTGGCATTTTAAGGGCCACTACAAATGCGATAGGCAGCCAGAACATCACGGTTGATATTAAGCATGCACCGATATATTGGCTCGCCGAAACATATCGGCAGAAAATGACACTGTTGGCTAAATGGCGAAAGTGCAATTTTTCTGCCACTATAGCGGCGCATCCGTGCTTTCTTTCCTCCCCGCTGGGCGCTGCTCTGTGTCCCAGCGGGGAGTAGAGAAACTGTCACAGGCGGCCGAACACTGCGGGAGGAGAGCACTGTGAGTGGCCGGTGTCTCTCCTCCCTGCGCCGCTCAACCTCCTGTCAAAGACCGGCAAAACGGTGTGTGGGCGAAGACGCCGCTGTTTTAGGGCGGTGGGAAAATTTTTTGTAAAGTAAGAATGCTTTCAGAAATAAGTGTTAATAGTTTAGATCAATTAACAACATGGAAAGTAAAAGAACAATAGGGAAATCTAAATCAAATCAATATTTGGTGTGACAGCATCAATTCTTCTAGGTACACTTGTACACAGTTCTGAAGGAACTCAGCAGGTAGGTTGTCCCAAACATCTTGGAGAACTAAGTACAGATCTTCTGTGGATGTAGGCTGCCTCAAATCCTTCTGTCTCCTCTTGTAATCCCAGACTTGATGTTGAGATCAGGGCTCTGTGGGGTTCCAAACCATCACTTCCATGACTCTGTTCTTCTATACGCTGAAGATAGTTCTGAATGACATTGGCTGTATGTTTGGGGTGGTTGTCCTGCTACAGAATACATTTGGGGCCATTCTCACACCCTGATGGTATGGCATGACCGATAAGTGTCTGCTTGTATTCCTCAGCATTGAATACTATGTTGATCCTGACCAAATCTCCAACTCCATTGGCAGAAATGCAGCCCCAGACTTGCAAGGAACCTCCACCATGCTTCACTGTTGCCTGCAGACACTCATTATTGTACCGCTCTCCAGTCCTTCAGTGAACAAAGTGCTTCCTGCTACAGTCAAATATTTCATATTTTAACTTATCAGTCCAGAGCACCTGCTGACATTTTCCTGCACCCCAGTTCCTATGTTTTTGGGCATAGTTGGGTCGCTTCGCCTTGTTTCCACGTCAGAGGTATGGTTTTTCGTTGCAATTCTACCATTGGGACCAGTTCTGGCCAGACTTCTCCGGACAGTAGATGGGTGTTCCTGGGTCCCACTGGTTTCCGCCAGCTGATGGAACTGCTGGACATGTCAAAGGAAAGTAAGCGTGATGTGTCTTTCATCTGCTGCATTGTTTCCTTGGTCGACCACTGCGTTTACGGTGCTCAACGTTGCCCGTTTCTTTGTGCTTCTTTAAAAGAGCTTGAACAGCACATCTTGAAACCACAGTCTGCTTTGAAATATTTGCCTGGGAACTACCTTGTGTCTTGTTGCTGTGCTCAGTCTTGCCATGTTGTATGACCTGTGACATGAAACGGTCTTCCACAACCTCGCCTTAGTAGCAGAGTTTGCCTTTTCCTCACCCAGTTTTAAGCCTCCTACACAGCTGTTTTTGTTTAAGTTAATGACTTACCTATGAAATTGATGATCATTAGCACCTGCTTTGTATAATTGGTTAATTGTACACGGGACTCTAATCCTACAAAATCCCTGACTTTGTACGTGCAATTGTACGAATTCATGCTGGTTTGAAGCCAAAGGGTAGTCACACAAAATATGTTTTGATTTAGACTTTTCTTCTGTTTTACTCTGCATTTTGTAAATTGATAAATAAGCAACAAACATATTTGTTTTGAAGGCATTCTTACTTTACAGCATTTTTTCACACTTGCCTAAAACTTTTGCATAGTACTGTGTGTGTGTGTGTGTGTGTGTGTGTATGTGTGTGTATGTGAAGAATACATGTTGGCCTTAATTTATGAAGAAAGATTATTTGCAATATTTTGTAACGGAGAGTAAGGGAAATCCGTTATTTTTTTCTTTTATAGTAAAATTAAAACCCCCCGTGGTGATTAAATACCACTAAAAGAAAGCTCTGTCAATTTATAAAACCCTCCCACATACATGCACATAAAAACATAAACACATGCTTTGGGTGCGCCTACTTATGAAAGCTATGATTGCACCACACATGTTGGGTGTTGCTACACATGCCAGACTGAGTGCAATTATTCTAGGGCCTTTATGCATGGTTAACGCTACAGTCATGGCCTGTAAAGGCTTTTAACTCTTTGCCTATGGAAAATTGGGGTTTCCAACGTGTTTTGCTGTTTTACAGGTGCACACAGTTTTGAGGCTTGAAATGTTTGATATTTACTTGATGCAACCTCATCCCTTTATATTTTACCCCAAATTGAGTATTATCAGTAATGCTAGCCTCCATGTTTCATGAAGGGTGCACAGGAAAAAAGGGATTTTATTTTTTTATCTCTATTTTATTATTGAACGTCCTTTTTTCCCTCCCTACTGTTTGTGAGCGTGTGTGTAGTTTGACATGAATCCTAGACAGTTGCCCACAGAATCTGTAGTCAAATTACAGCTTGAGCAAGAAATACCTTAGCTGGGGAGCATGGGATATCATCTACTGCAGTTTAACAAGCTTTTGTGAGAGATTTGTCAGACATGAAGGGGTACAGTATATGGATATAGATATATTACCTAATGGAAACTTGTACTGAGATGAATGGGAGCTGGTATTGCTGATATTTTGTAGATCATATAAAATTTTAAATCCCTGGGTATTTCTGGCTGAAGTACTTTGATTTACGGACCCAAAGCAAGCATGCTGAGAAGAAAGTGAGAGTGAACACTTGTGGTCAGGGTTGCCTAATTCTACAAAGTGTCCGTTATATGTGTGACCAAAGAGAGTGCCTCAAGCAGTCCCAGATTCTTGCTACCATTCAAGAGAGTGAAAAGGGACAATTTCACCTGTTACTGTTTCTTTAAAAGTGCAGCTGCTTTTTAAATCTCTTGCTAATAGGTAAATATATTCCCAACTGTTGTTGGGAAGATATCATGTGCCCATATATGATCACCTTAATGTCAACCACAGAAATGGCAATTCCTAGAGGTAATTGATGTCTAAGTGCTCAGTCGGCTTCCGGTGGATATGTATTTTTTTCTAAAAATTATTATTATTTTTTTTATGGGCTGATAAGTGGTAAAAAAAAAAGTTTATTGTATTGTCTTTTAAACGGTTATTGTATCTTACACTCTGAAGAGATGCACGCTGCCGCTTGAAGGCTTATTTTGTCAGTGTAGCCTGCATGTGATCACTATATCATAGCTGGCATAGTGATCAAATGATCAGGAATTATTCTAATTTTTCTCTGAAAATTACCATGTATGTGGCCAAGAAAATATGCATTTAATTTAAACTCTTGACTCTGTAATAGTCTCTACTTTTATTCAGGTTTAAAGTGTTTCTGTGCAGTTAGTTGCAAATCTGGGCCTAAAATAGGTTATATTTAGCTAGCTGTATGCAGTATATATGCCGAAGTAAACTGCAACGTTTGCAGCTTTTGTAAAATCCAAACTCCACATTCTCCACAATCTGTAGCATTGGAATTCAACGAAAAAATGTTTGGTTTGCTTTCTTGCCTAAAGATAATATTCATATTAGCAAAAATAAATGTGTACTGCATGATCTCTCTTTTGAGCCACTCCTAGTAAAAAAAATGTCCCTTTTATCTTTTCATACTCATATATTTAGTAATGTTATTATTGGGCCTTTTTTTTTTTTTTTTGTTCTTTCAAGCAACCTATAGTGAAATGGCTGTTTTGAATGAGACTGTTTGGCAGCAATCTTTCCAATTGGCATCCCCACTAATTCAGCTGTAACAAATGTCAGCATAATCACTGCTCAAAAAGTTACTTGGCTTGATTAGGCATTATGTTCCTCAGCCTTTAAAAAATACACATAGCCTGATCAGGAGGGGATCCATGTAAAAAAAACCTGAAATGACCAGACCCCATGTCAGTCTATGGGGAATCGGATGCAAATAGACGTGTCCGTTTCCATCGAAACAAAACACTTTGTGACCTGGCCAGAGTCGGGGGTCACTGGGTGTAAACATACACCCGCCCCTTTACACCCAGCTGCCCATAGATTAGCATTATGCGTCCGATTGGG